TCACCAGTTAGAGATAATCAATTGCACATCCATAAAAAAAAAAAAAAAAAAAATTGTTGATTTGTGCCATTTTCAAAACTAAGAACAACTTACATTTTTGAAGTATAAACAGGAATATATAAAATAGGTGGAAAGAGCATACTGCTTATTCTTGTAAGAATAAGAAAGCTGTCCAGCAGTCCTCAACTTATGACCGCAATTCAGCACAAAATTTAAGTTGCTAAGTGAGAGACTTCTTAACTGAGTTTTGCCCCATTTTACACGATCTTTCTTATCACGGTTGTTAAGTGAATCATTGTACTTGTTAAGTTAGTAACATAGTTGTTAAGTGAATCTGGCTTTCCTGTTGATTTTGCTTGTAGGAAGGCCGCAAAAGGTGATCGTGTGGCTCCGGGATGCTGCAACTGTCATAATTATGAGTCCATTGCCAAGTGTCTGAATTTGATCATGTGACCATGGGGATGCCATGAAGAGTAAAAAACAGTTAGAAATCACGTTTTCAGTGCTCTTGTAACTTTGAATGGTCACTAAATGAACTGTTGTAAATCAAGGACTATTCGTATTTGTTCTTTCTACTCCTTCAATGACCAATATAGCAAGATACATAACAAATTAATAAGACAAATGCATAATGCTACATGTACTATTTTATTAGTTTTGGTCAGCTAGCACAACACATTTTTGGATGTATTTCTTAGACATTTGGTTCTGTTTCTTTCCCTTGCCTCTTCTGATACCAATCTTATGCTTCATTTCCCTAAAACACGGGTGTCAAACTTGTTGTGTCACATTGGCATCACATGATTTCATGTTGTTTTTCCCCTTCACGGAGCTGGGGTAGGCGTGGCCTGCGCATGACGCACCTGGCCCGTGGACTGCAAGTTTTACACACCTCCCCTAAAAGCTAGCTTCTTCATCTGCCAAGGATTCAGAATCAGAAACTGCCTGTTCTATTAGCATATTGCTCTTAATAAGAATTTAGTGGCATAAAGAATTGGGTGGCATAAATATATATATTTATTTATTTATCAGCACAAATATAACACACACACACACACACACATATATATGCCACCCAATTCTTTATGCCACTAAATTCTTACTAAGAGCAATATGCTAATAGAACAGGCAGTTTCTGATATATATATATGCCACCCAATTTCCAGTAACTCTACTAGTATCAAAAAATGATGGGTAGTTTTCTAGGTTCAAAAGCTGAGCAGCTAAGTCACATTGAACCATCTTTGAATGTTCCTTCCAAAGGTATGAAAAGTCATTAACATTTTTCAAAAGAAACTGTTCCATCACATAGATATGTCAATACTTTCAAATTAATAACTCTTTATTGGTACATGTTTTGCACGAACACAAATGACCTTTGTACATTTTATTTTGTCATTTTAACTTGTCAATGAAGGTAAGTTTCCTGAGCAATTTCTGAAATAATACATGGCGGGGTAAGATTAAAAGATGGTTCCTTGGTCAGAATGCAATGGACATTAATTAGAAATCAAGGTTGTGTCATTTACAACACACACCAGGGTATTTTGGGGAGGGGAGGCTCCCCACTTCTGGAATAGGATGGCTCTCTGGAAGCTCATAAAGACTTGGTTCTTCTCCAAAACCTTTGGGACTTGATTGCTTTGGAGCGTCAAGGGCCATGAATGTGTTTTTTTTTTTATTTCTGTCGCTGTCTCCCTCCCTCCCCCCCTCTCTGTGTCTGTCTGTCTGTCTGTCTGTCTCTGTCTGTTTCTCTGTCTCTGTCTCTATCTGTCTCTCTCTGTGTGTGTCTCTGTCTCTGACTGTCTGTCTATCTCTATCTCTGTCTCTGTATCTCTCTGTCTTTGTGTCTCTGTCTCTCTCTCTCTCTGTGTCTCTCTCTGTCTCTCTCTCTCTCTGCATTGGTAGTGGGCTGGTGCTTTTGTTCATCACTTAGAATTGCCTTGATAATTGACTTCTGTATTCATTTTACAACAAAAAAGTATTCACCCGTGACTCTTTCCTATTCCAGAAGAGGTAGTCACACAGCAACATTCAGTAATTCTTAGGCTTCCCTGTTATTGGTTTGTGAAGGTTGGGCCAATATACCTCTGGTGTAATGTTGTCTAATTTGTTGATATGAGTACCAGAATGAGCAATACAGCTGGCAGGTAATAGATGCAAGAGCTGGATATGTATCCTGCTTTATTTCTACATCAAATTAAAGCTGTCTACTCAATCAGTTTTCAACCAGAGTTGGTATGTTCCACTGCAAGATCTGACATACTGTATGTAGAGTAGGGCTTCTTTTAAAAGGCTTCAGCAGGGCTGCAGTAATAAGAGCAGTGGTAGTAGTTTAAGTACGTCATATGTTTTTACAGCACATATTCCTGCCGATATTTCTTTCCTAATGTATCTCAGTGCAGTTGCATTGGGATGCCCTGTGGACAGAATATAAATATGAAGGGGAAAAAGAACCTGTTTGGTCTAGTGGTTAAGGCTGAAACCAAGGAAGTGTGGATTCTGGGCCTGATTTAGACATGAAAGCCAGCTAGGGGAGCCCAGCCCACCTCAACAGAAAATAGAAGGATGGAGGATTAGATATGTCTGCTGCCTTAAGATATTTATAAAAATAGTAAACGTGGGTTTAAAAAAAAACACCACCTAAAACACCCAGTTTTAAAAAGGAAAGTTGATCAGTGTGAAATAGTTGGGGCTCAAACTAGGCATGAAACATTTTAAAATTATATCCACTTATTCTTGTATTACTGTGGGAGTTTTTGATTATTGGGATCAGGCCTTATGGAGAAATGTGGAGAAGATTTCTTCCTGGGTATATTTTATTTTATTTTCAATTTAATTTAGGCACTTCCTGACTCCAAAGGACTCTGATGAAAAGGATCTTCCCACAGAAACCCATCTCATACATGCACCCATCCTGCTTAGATTGTTAGCGGTAGTCCTCAACTTATGACAACAATTGAGTCCAAAATTTATGTTGCTAAGTGAGACAGTTAAGTGACTGTTGCCCCATTTTACAACTTTTCTTGCTACAGTTGTTAAGTGAATCACATGGTTGTTAAATGAATCTGGCTTCCGCATTGACTTTGTTTGTCAGAAGGTCGCAAAAGGAGATCAAATGGCCCTGGGATATGGCAACTGTCATAAATATGAGTCAAATTGCCAAGCATCTGAATTTTGATCATGTGTCCATGGGGGTGCTAGAATGGCTGTGAAAATGGTCATAAGTCATTTTTTTCAGTGCCATTCTAATTTTGAATGGTGACTAAATGAATTTGTAAGTCAAGGATTACCTCTCTCTGTGTGTGTGTGTGTTTGTGTGTCTGTCTGTCTGTCTGTGTTGGGATTGCAGCTGGAAAGAAAATAGTCAAAATAAACTCTCCATCAAGTGCAGCTCCATGAAAAGTATAGCTGTTTTCTGTTCTTAAAGTTCATTTATAACTTTGCAGCTTGGCTAAGAACAAAGTAACTTTTGGGTTTGTTTTTTTTAAAGAGAACAAAAGTTTATGGTATAGTGATGGCTAACCTTTTTGTTGTTGCGTGCTGAAAGCGTGCGCACTTGTGCAGCAGCGCATATGCGTGTGCCCACACCCATAATGCAATGCATGCACAACACTACCCCCTATGTGCCCCATGCCCCTGTGCATGCGTGTGCAACCCCCCCCACGTCTCCCCATCCCTCTGAGCATGTGTACGTGATCTTTCCTGCACCCCGTTTTGGGCCTAACAGGCCTCCTTGCAGCCTCCTGGGACCAAAAACAAGCTGCGGGGGGAGGGAAGGGGGGCTTGCATGATGGAGCTGAGCTGGGGCGACAGCTCATATGCCTGCAGACAGGGTTATGCATGCCACCTGTGGCACGGGGGCCACAGGTTTGCAATCACAGGTATAATTTATTCTTTTTTTTTCTTAGTTGCCATTTCAAGGCAGGAGGCAGGAATGGAAACTGTGTAGTCCATAACTGAGAGCACATCTTCACCATAGTGAAAGCAGAAGCTACCGCATTACAATTTATGATTAGAATTTACTGAAAAACATAGAAGAGAAAAGCTTGCTGTTATGTTACTGACTCTTTGGGGACTCTAAATAGAGAGACTGTTGGTTAAATTAAACTCGATATATATGCATTAATGAGATGCCAAGGCATTATGAGGACGTTTTGAGAGATAATAATTAACATCCAATATGTCTACCTCAGGTTTTCTCTTAACATAGTAATGTTGCCAGAATACTATTTGAACTAATGCTTTGCAAAAAAGTTTTGTTTGTGTTCTACAGTTCTCTATTTTATATGTTTATTCATGACGGCGGTGAAAATACTAGTGTTTTAATTTTTGGCAGAAAATCTTTCCAAATAATACTAGAATTAGTGTCCTCAGGGAGGAAAAAAAAATATCCTGTGGGTTTTTTTCCCTCCTTTCCCTTTCTCATTCAGATTTCTGAGAAAGAATTTATTTTTGAAATATTCCTGAAAGGACAACACATCCACCAAAAACTGTCCTTTTACGCATTCATGTGAAG